CCTTTTTTCTGCCGTAGTCTCACCTCATCCATGATAGGAAATCAGTAATCATTTTCTCTGCAATCCGCATATTTTCTTTGGCTGAAACCCACCATCAGTGACACGTCCCCGGTCAATCTTTTTGCTCGAACCACCTCTAACACCGTCAATAACTCCCAGTGGGTTTTCGACATTCAGAGTTCAGACTGGGAGGTACGCTTCTTTGGGTTGATTATGATATCATGCTCAAATCTTGTTCAACAGCGATGGATCAAAGGAAGTGCTGCATCTCAAGTTGACCACCACTCTGGCAGCTACTCTGCACTTGTATCAGGCACCAATCTGAGGATAATGGCGGTCAATACGCAGTACTGGTACAAACAGAAGTGAGTGTCGACACAATTCCGTACCTCGTGGTGCTAAATATTTTTCCGGTCGCAGTTTCTGGCTATATGACAGCGATGTCGTCCAGTGCGTCTCGCGCCGCAAATCTCGGAACTAACACTGACCATGGAGCAAAGACCAGACCCAAATGGCATCATCTCGTTTATGGTGGATCAGTTGCAGGCCGCCGAGGACGCAGGCGAGAGGATGTGGATTATTGGCCATATACCAATCGGGGGAGGGGACTTGGTCGTCGACCAGGAAAGTCCATGCGCCTCATTATTGTTCCATTCTCCTGATTCCCTGCTTTATTTTGCAGTCGAACTACTACAACCAGGTGCTCCAGCGATACAAGAATACCATAGCGGGTCAGTTCTTTGGCCATACACATGGGGTAGAAACCTTCGCGCCTCCTGCCTGTATGTCGACTGAGGGATGATTAGGACCAGTTCCAGATTGCGTACTCCAACTATAGCGATCAGACGGCGCACACCGCTGTTAGTGCTGCGTTAATTGTGGGAGCCTGTGCCGTATGCTCATACTATTTCAACTGACAGTATTATCTAGGGCCCCGCCTTGACTCCGAACAGTATGGCATGATGATTTCTAGAACGGAACTGTACTGATGTTAAAAAAATCCAGGTGGAAACCCAGCCTTCAAGGTGTACGATATAGATCCGGACACTTTTGAGGTGATGGATTCCAGCGTATTCTTCAGTGCGTGCTACAAAGATTCAGATGACTTCCTCAATATATTCACCAAAATACAGCGAACGCGTCGGATGCCCACTTCCAAGTCAACCGTGAGTCGATTATCGTCTCTAACCGTAGCTGAATCCTGAATGTTCAATAGCGCAATGGAGTCTCTATTACAGCGCCCGGGAAACATACGGACCACTCGTCGGGCTATCGCCTCGAGAACCACTCTCGCCTGCCTTCTGGCACAATCTCACCGAGGTCTTTCAAACGAATGACACTGAGTTTCAGACGTATAATGCGCGGATCAGTCGCGGCGGTGCAGTGAGTGCCTGCGATGCCACATGCAAGAACACCACAATTTGCGACCTTCGTGCGTTCCGGTCTGAGAATAACTGCGTATGAACCTTTACTTCTAGCATTCGTGGTGAAGCTCATTCATCTGCAGGACACACCGACCCCGGGTCTCTCTTTGCGCCGAAGGACTCGAGGGGACTCACACGGATCCGACGCATGCGAGGGCACGGGCATCGCTCAGATCTTTTCGAACATGGTGTCCGTTCTGGGTTAACGCGCGCACAAAACAGAATCGCCAGCGAAACGGTAACATACTTTCGAAGAGACCACACCTGTTGATTGCCCGGGCAAGCCGTCAATAACTATTTGAACATATCTGTGCAACTGTGGAATACCGGGATTGATGCATTGGCGACATGCCTGATATTACTTGCTCACTCAAGGTCGTCAGCTAGGAATGGCTGGAGATAGGTAAGGTAAGGCAAGTGCAGGTTCCATACATTGTACATGCCTTGAGATACCCTGTCTCTGTCTCGGCATTTTAACCTCCATGTTAAGAACGACAACGGAATCATTCTTTACGAGTCGCGCCGTCTGCTACTACATCGCCGAAAAGTACGCCAACCAAGGGTTAAAGCTTATCCCCAACGACCTCGAGGAAAAGGCGATCTTTGAGCAAGCCGCGTCTATCGAATACCCCAATTTCGACTCATTCTGTTCCAAGGCCGTCGCTTCAAGCCGTTCGTGAATTTTTAGTTGGTGTCATCGCGGTTCCCTCAGGTTTTCTTTGCAGAATGCGCGGCGTGGCGTCTGATAAAGCTGTCTTTGACGCCCTTGTCGAAGCGCTCTCCGGTAAACTCGACGGCTAAGGGATTATTCTTGGGAAGCAGAAATATCTTGCAGGAAATCTAAGTCTTTGCACGACGATGGATCTGTCCTCTTAGTAGATGCCCTTCGCAGGAAGTGACACTGCCTGACCTCTTTCATCTTCCGTATAGAGCTCGCGCGGGGAGCGACCTCATGACCACTAAACGTCCGAACGTCGCATCTCAAAGTTCTCTCTTTGGGTTTCTGTAACATACGCCGGCTAGTAATTCAGATAGTTCAACGAGCTTTGCGCGCGGTCCTCTTGAATGGCGGTCAAGGCTGGCGTCAAAAGCATCGACTCGTACACAAGCTGGTCATCACCATGAACTCACTCCAACGGCAAAGATCTTGTGTCTTCGTTCTACTGTCTCCACTCGGCCTTTTTTTACCGAGTTGATCAAGTTCTTCCCACTGTGTCGTAACACTCGGTAATTGAGCGGCCAGCCGGTTTCCATCCCAGGCCCATTTATGTCTTCACCTACTGCAATCGTCCTCATTACTGGCGCGAACAAAGGCATCGGGCTCGCCATTGCAGGACTGCTCGCCAAAGAGCACGACGGATACCACATCCTGTTGGGCAGCAGAGATTCTGAGAGGGGCAGAAAAGCGGCCGAGTCTTTACAGCGCGAGGGCCTCTCGGTGGAGGCACTTACGGTCGATGTCACCGACGAGGACTCGATCGCGGCCGCCGTCCGCACTGTGAAATTCAAGTTCGGGCGGCTCGATGTTCTCATCAATAACGCCGGTGTAGCGCTGGACATTGGGAAAGATATTGTCACCACTCGTTCCATGTTCGATGAGACATTCGCGGTGAACTTTTTCGGGCCAGCAGCCGTCACCGAGGCGTTTATTCCCCTCCTCGAGCAATCCACCGCCGCGCGGATCGTCTTCGTGACCTCGGACCTCGCCTCGTTAACGATGCGCGCGGACCCGCAGGGGCGAGACAACCACGTCGCGGCACCTGCGTATCGATCTAGCAAGAGTGCACTAAACATGCTTGCCCTCGGGTATGCGCATCGGTTCAGAGACCGGGGATGGAAAGTCAACATGGACAATCCGGGGTTCACCCCGACGGATATGACCGGAGGCCGTGGTACTAGAACACTGGAAGAAGGAGCACGGAATGCAGTGAGGTTGGCGACTTTGGGCGAGGATGGACCAACTGGGACCTATTCGGAGAGGGAGGGACTTTTGCCTTGGTAGTAGTTTGCACCAAATGCTGCCTCTATCGACTGGGTGCATTTCAGCCAATTTTCGCCAGTTTTACCTATAGACTTGGTGCATTTTCAGTATTTCTGACAGATTGTGCCTGTTGCAGAATCAACTGCGCTTCGCTCAAAAATGTTTGGATCAAACCTCACCTTCGCTGCTTGTTCGCTGCGCTCAAAAACGCTTGTCTATTACCACACCCAAAGATCATTAGAAAAGTGTAGCTTGATGGAGGGTAAACAGAAATAGAGCAAGCTTTCAAGGGCTCACCGAGTCCATTATTTTTTATTTGCTGCTTCGATGCGTGCCGCCAACTCGTCCCTAAGGTACTCGAGTTCTGATGCTCGGCGGACCGGGAACACGCGTCATCGGACGAGTATCTCCACCACCCACACGAACTCGAATGAAATTCGAGTTCGTGTGGGTGACTGGAGAAGGGTGATCACTATAACATCTGAACTTACTAGGTTGGCTAGGCTCTCCGCCTGTTTGGCAAAAGAGCAGTGAAAATTGTGCAGTTTGCCTCGCGGCCGGGAGAGCCTCCAGCTCTGGGAATATGAAATCTGTGGGGCAGGCTAGTCTCTTATAAACAGACGCTACCACTGTATCGTACCTCGTTTGTTGTAGGGGCAGACCGGTGATTTCAGCGTATACTGTATAGAGCGCTGCGGTGCGCGCCAGGCCGGGAAGGTGGCGGAGGCGGGCGATAGCGAGCACGCGATGGGGATGTGCCTCCAGAAGGCCAGGAACGCCAACATCTTCTCAAGTAATTGCTGTACGGCGAGAGGTATTTGTTCGCCGCCCGGTGAACTTCCCAGACACCGTCCAAATTCTGAGCGCCGAGGGACCGGGTGCGATGCAAAAGAGGCGGTGCAACACCACTGCCGGTTTGTCCAAAAGTACAATGGGCTTCAACATCACTCCTTAGCTCTGCGCCAATGTTCCCTCCACCCTCGGCGTCAAACATGTTGTGGAGGAAAACATTTAACGGAGGCGAATGAGTCTAAGTATGCCTTCTGCACATGAAGGTCAACGCCGTTGCCGTATCGAATGATAATGTCACAGGGATGTTGCTCTCCGAATCTGGGCATCAGAAAATGGCGCCGCATCTTGAATGCGACATGAGTGGCAAAAAGATGGAGGTCGGAGTTTGCCGGCGGCTAATCGTGATCCGATCCGGCAGGTTCATGGGACACGGAATGTTCATCTTCTCCCCGCGTCAATCGTGAAGCTAAGGATCTAGAAATTCGAGGCACGTCTAATCTTCGTCAATCGGCTGGCTCGAATATTGAATATACAATTTTAGGTGGAATGTCTCATCATTGATCTAGCATCAAACTCAGGCAACAATGTTCACTTCCCCTGCGTCAACGATGGAAAAAATCTGGAAATTTGGCAGGGGTGGGCCAGCGGTGGTGGAATGTCCTGTGCGTAACATGAGGCCAAAGGGATGCGATTTGAATGAGTTATAGAGAATTTGGTCGCTCATTGATGGTAGGTAGTCGAGCTGAGTGTTCTGAGTATTTAAAAAAGAAGTTGACGAGTTCGGAGGAACTCCAAAAAGGAGCTGGACACATTGGGAATTGAACCCAACACCTCTCGCAGGATTTGTTACGTAAGCCGTAATGCTAAGCGAGCGTGATAACCAACTACACCATGTGCCCGTTGTGGATGATGAACCCAGGAGCTCTAGGGAGCCCGTGATCTCTTACCACCACCATCTCGGTGGCAGTAATGTTGCGCCGCCTATTCTCCCAAGCACCACTTGGCCCCACCTCGGGGATGCCACCACCACCGGCGTTTAGGGCTCGGCACCGCCACCCCCATAAAAACCACACACTGGGCCGCCGGCACAATGGCAAGAACTTTAACTAAGTCAAACTAACTACCTGTAAATAAAAACTACGATACATGCTTGAACTGTAAAGCACACAGTGAGTACCCGGGAGCCTGAGGCCAAAACGCGGTGAGAACACAGCGAGAACAAGGCTGATTGACGGCTAAAAAATGATGTGGCGCTCTTGTCTCCCCCCACCACCTCCAAACTGGCCTCCCCCGCCGACCCGATGCAAAGCCCCATAGGACACCACAAGGCGCGGAAGGGGACTGACACTGCAGACACCTCCAGCATCCTCCCTGATATCCACACAGCCAGCTCGCCAACCTCCCATTGCATCAGCGCGGCAGACCCTGCGGCGCACCACCACACCGGCGTATTTAGCACATCCAACCCGGGACCGCAACCCCACGCCTACGAAATATTCGCGCCCAGGACCAAAGGCCCCGACACTCACTGAGAGAAAAAACAAGTTGGCCGGGTCTCAGGCTCACCCACCCTGCCTTCCAATGGAGGGCACCAGCTCTCCCCCGCTACTCAGCAAAGACGACATTATGACTGACCTACACGGCCACGCCCCCCTCTTCGACGACGACACTGATGCTCAAGGACACACTGACAACGAGACCGCGATGGACCAACACCGCCCCTTCCACGACCAGGGCGCCGCGGACGGTGGCGCACCTCCCCACAGGGTCAAGGCCCTGCGCGTCATACTACCGCTCCCTACTCCCACCCCAATGAGACCGCTGTGGTAAGGACCGCGGTCCCACTAGGCAAATTTGTGGGATCACAAAGTGGCGGGTTCGTCCTCTAGGGCTCTTTAAAGTTGGTTTCTAATAGATCGTAAGGCTGCAGGTGGTCTGCCTTGTTGGATCCGAGTGTGTGTGTTGGTCGAAGGTCGAAGGTGTGTGTGTGTGTGTGCGTCGTACGCCTCTGGAGCGAGACCTGAGTCCTCAGGACGGGCTGAAGGCGGTATATGAGTACTCAGAAGGTACATTGGCGGCGTCCGGTAATCAGTATTCACGGGTGTATAAATGAAAGGCAAATCCTTGAGATGATGTCCCTTGGCGATGGTGACGAACAAGTGCGTTGGTGGTCAACTCGAGGATGTAATTGGGGGATAGAGGTACAGGGTCAGGATTCGCGATGTTCTGAGTGGTCGGAAGGTGGTGGAATGGGATATAATGGTAGATAGGACGTGGGTGGATGGTCGTTCGGTCGCAGACATGGCTATCCTGCCGTCGAGGGTCGCTCAAGAGTCGTTTGTAAGGTTGTATGGGGGCTTGGATTTGGTGCAAGTGGGTAAGTCAAAACCGTGCGCATGGTCACGTCTCCTCGGGAAGCCCGAGCGTGCCTGGCATGCCTGGTTGCCATCTTGGCCGCGTCTGGTACTCGTACAAGTTGTTGCTGGAATCGTTGAGTAACGAGTTGTTGGAAGTAGATCTGAATGAGGCAAAGTCGTTTCCTAATTGGGTGAATCTTGAGTGAGTGGGAATTCTGAGCTGTTGCGTCTCGTCCAGACAAGCCATGAGGTGGTGTGAGCAGTGCAGCGCAAACACAAGCCTCACACCGCCTTCCTCAATCGCTCCCCGGTACACCGATTCCGCACCCCGCACAGGAAAAACTCAGCCTACAAACTCCTCTTTGCAGGCCCAGACAACAGGGCCATGAGGGTCTCCTTCCAGCCCACGGAGGGCAACCTCAAGCACCCAGTTATCGACGGAAAACTCATGATGATGAATGTCCCCAAGGCATTCATCGACACCCTCGACAGCAGCCCAGACAAATTCAGGATCATTGTCCCCTTCCTCGGCGGCGCCGACTTCTTCGAACTGCACGGCAAAGCGAACCTCGTCGCTGCCATCATTAACATCGTGACAGACACGGGCCTAGCAGAGGAGGACGACCTCGAGGCCATTCCCCTCAGCCCAGACAAACCCCCATCGTGGAGGGACCCGTATGCGCCACCCTGGATCCTCGCACTCCAGGCGGACGACGAAACCCTCGGGCGCCTTGCCGCCATCTCACCTACATCGCTGACCGCGATTTGGCCTTCCACATTGTCCGGTACAACCCCGGCCTCCGCACGTGGACAATCACTCTCTACACCGTATCCTCCAAGGCTGGGCACAACTCAAATGGGCTGCACCTACGCTGGTGCGTTGCCACCCTCATCCTCGACGACCCCGATGTCCGCCGCGCCTTCCAACGCGCAACCGGTCCTTTGGAATCAGGCTCCATCCAGACCCGTCTCCTGGACTGGGTGTGGACGGTGTACACAATCTGGAATGAGCACTCCGGGCACTGGTGTGTGTATGCCGAGCCGTGTACACCAGACTATGAAGGCTGGGAGTCCGTCCGTGCCTCGATGCGGGCCAAGCCCCTCTACCACGCAGCCTCCCTCTGCTCCTTCACGCCCCTTGCTAAAGAGCTCTCCTGGTAGGTACATTGCAATGTGATGTGGAATTTCCACAAATGCACGTTGAAATGTGCCTGCGACACTTCCATGCATGAAACACATTGCAATGTGCACCCTAGGGGCACGGAGCAGCACCTTTTGGGTATGATACCCGGCCCCGCGGCATCTATTTTCGATCAGTAACTGATGGCAAAACTTATTTCCATCAATAGAAAAGATCAACCATCAGAGGGTTGGTCGGCAGGTTCGGCACCATCTCATCTCATATAGGGTACATTGCAATGTGCACCATGCCATCAATATTGAGAAAATAGCTAGTGCACGTTGCAATGTGCACTACACCATCAGTGTTTGGTAGAAAAAGAAAATAAGGTACACGTTGCAACGTGCACTACGCCATCACATGCCATCAATTTTGGGCAGAAAAAGAAAATAGCTAGTGCACGTTGCAATGTGCACTACACCATCAGTGTTTGGTAGAAAAAGAAAATAAGGTACACGTTGCAACGTGCACTACGCCATCACATGCCATCAATTTTGGGCAGAAAAAGAAAATACCTAGTGCACGTTGTAATGTGCACTACACCATCAATGTTTGGTAGAAAAAGAAAATAAGGTACACGTTGCAACGTGCACTACGCCATCACATGCCATCAATTTTGGGCGGACAAAGAAAATACCTAGTGCACGTTGCAATGTGCACTACACCATCAATGTTTGGTAGAAAAAGAAAATAAGGTACACGTTGCAACGTGCACTACGCCATCACATGCCATCAATTTTGGGCAGAAAAAAAAGAAAATACCTAGTGCACGTTGCAATGTGCACTTAATATTGGGTAGAAAAATAAAATAAGGTGGTGCACGTTGCAATTTTTTAATGTGCACCATGCCATCAATATAGAAAATGGCGCACTTTGCAATGTGCAATGTGCGCCACCTCATCAATGTTGGGTAGAAAGAAACTCGGGTGGTGGACGTTGCAATGCGCACCAGGACATTTAAATATCACTCTGATGAAAGGTTACATTGCAATGTGTACTGAACTGGATCGCATTGCAATGCGGTCATCTCCTCAAAATAAATCCAAGTCGCGGAATACATTTCAATCATCATCCTCGTTAAAGTCGTCAAATTCGTACTCCTCCTGTCCATCCTCCTCCAGTTCAACCTCAAGTGGAAGGAGCTCTTCATCCACATCTCCAACATAGTCCCTCAAGACCAATGCCGCCCGGGTGCGCACAGGCAGCCACCTTGCACTCCAAGTCGCTGCCCATCCCCGTTCCCGTGCCATCTGCTCCCGAACATATGCCTCCAACCCTTCCTCTAGTGCAGGTGCAACACCCCCCCGTAATCCAAGTCGTTCCTCCCACCATTTTGCCTTCCACAAACAAAATTCCACCGTTCGCCGCATTTCCTCCTCCAATAACAGCAATTCTTCCCGCCAACGATTGGCACGCGCTCGTGCCTTCGACCACTCAACGCGGATGTCTGACGCAGATTAGTGTGACAATCATCTGCGAGCCGAATCTCGCTTACCAGCATGCAATTTCCCATCGGCATCAACCTCCCCGGTCGTCGCTGTATACCAAAGCCACGATGCAAGACGGCGACCCTCGCCGGCTTCCAGATTGAAGTGAACAGTCAGCGGAATAGGTTCACCGTACGCATCTACATCTTCCGACCCATCACCTGTCAGACCAGCCAACAAACGTGCCTTCCGGTTCTCCTCCTTTTCTTCATCATTCATCGCCCGCTCGTTGATTCCCCGGACATCCTCTTGCCGCAACTCCCGCAACTCCGACTGCCACTCTCCTGGTCCTCGTAGCACAAGAAGACCCTTCCAGGCAGCCCGATACCGTGCTGTCGCGCTCCGAACACGATCTTCAATTCCATCCTGCAGACTTTGACTCTTCGTGTACATCCCCTGACCGCCCATATGCTTGCGTTTGAATTGATGGGCAAAGGTCCGAGTGCGGAGGTTACTGCGAAGCTCCCGCAGGGCCTCACCAGCCTGCGCCTGACGAAGATCCTCCTCGTTTTGGGTAAGGTTCGGGAGACATACAGCCTCGCGATCCGCAGCCGGTAGCGATGATGGGAGGAAGATCTTGATGGTTTCCGGTTTTGAGTTGTCGGGAACAGGAAGTGGCGGGTCTTGTTGCGCTATCCACTGACGCAAGCCGGGCATGTATACATTTTGAATATCTTGAAGAGCGGACACCTTCCCCAGGAGCAGTGTTCGTTTACGCTGCAACTCGGTGGCCTGGATTGTTGTCCTTGTCCGACGTTTCGCCTCCAGAGCAACAACTAATCTGTCAAGTCGTTAGCGGTGTCAAGAAATAACAGTGCAAATCACACACTGATCCTCTTCAATGTCCATACCCGCCACCAAGAAACCCGCCGGCT